CCCCGGCCGCCCCCCTCCCCCCGCTAGAAGGCCGATATTGACGCTTATCATCACGATTTACTGCGGCAATAGTATTGCCGCATATGTAGCCAGATTGAGCTCATTCTTACGTCAAGTAAGGGTCATAGACTTCAGTTTTTGACGATTGTGTTCTTCCTGGGCTTCTACTCACATTGTCCGCTCCGCCCCGAGTATCATCGTTGAGCAGAACGGCGTACAAAAATCCTCGCTGTGGCAAGAAGATCCGGTCCTCTGAGGTGAACAACGCAACATCGACGGTCCATATGAGTCGCGGGGTTCGGTTGTGCACGCGCAAGCCGCATTTCAAATTTTCAAATTTCGGCCGCCTGAAAGGCATCTTGGACATTTCCGACCACCCGTGGTATCCAGCAAGCCATGGACACGTTGTTCCGGAGAGGAAAGATATCAATCCGCCAGCGTGAAAAGTAGTCCCTCTTTTTGGCCGCTCTTAGGATATTTATTTATTTTCCTGGTTTAGGACCTGTAAAATATCTGGGCCCTAATTTAATTTTTTCACACGTTTTATCGCTTACGGCCATGATATGTGTCTTGGCTCTCTAACATGCTCAGTTTGGTGTGTTCTCACGTCAGTGGCTGTGCGTCTGATTGATCTCGAGCGTCGTATTAGCGTTGTGGGTTCCAAGTGAACATTTATTACTCATTATGAGCCTAAATTACGTTTCATACGACTTTTGTCAACGGGCGTATGTTCTCTATGGATATTGAAGATCTGATTTAAAATAACTTCCGGTAAGACGGTCGTGTTATAAGGCAAATAATGCCTTTTTATCTGCCCCATGGTCCGTCCAATGGAGACTTAGTTGGGTGTCACGGCATTTTTCCTATTGTCCAATAGACTCCTAAGAACATTGATAATGTCTAGCCGGTTTGGAAAAATATCGTGCTTGTTCTCAAAGTAATATCGACAGCTTTTTCACATTTCTTTTTACTGCTTTAGTTTTTCCTGCGAGGTTATGTTGATTTGTGCGCTGTAGTCCGAAAACTGAGAAGTGGTCTGATAATATTCGCTTGACAACCATGCGCCTCAGTATATTTCGGCCAGCGCTGTAAATAAACAACCAGCCCCACAGCTACATTCTTTATCTTTATCATAAATAAAATTGTAACTTCCTACATTACATTTAAAACAAGTACAAAATCATTATTTAAATGTTGTAAACAAATGGCCCTACCATTGTATGACAATTCAACACATAAATAAACTATATATCTGCTGACTGGTACATTAACTTTTGTTGTTGGAGGTCAATTGTGTCCATTCAACCAATCTAACAGACATTTCAATGGTTTCTTATCAATCCTTTTAGACTGTCCATTGTTTTCAGTATAAGGGTCTCAGTCCAATCCTTTTAATTGCTATCCCATCATTATTTTACTTTAAATAATTAATTTACAGTTGCTTGGTTATTCAACAAATTATTTGTTGATTTACTTCTCTGCTCTTCACACCAAATAAACTCAAAAATTTTACTTACTGCCAACAGTTTGTTTTATTTTACATCTTTATTAAATAATAGTTCTTTAGTGACACAATTTTCATACTTAAATGGGTATTATTATGATAACTCATACTCATATTATGATAACTCATACTTATTATAATTTCAGCCCAGGGAGCGGTGAGGCGCAACAGAGGCAGGATGGTGGTCGACCCGTCACTTTCAAGGCACCCGGGGTCCGTTCACCATCGTGCACTGGTGCAGACCTCGGGTATGACGCCCAAAGAACTGTCAGACAATGACGATCTTGCCACATCTTTCGTATTGGATCCCTACTTAGGATTTGTTACACATAAAATGAACATTCGGTAAGTTTATTAGATTTCCAGTTTGTTTTTCTGTTTTATTGAGCTCCTATGCTTAAATCAATTTTGTTTGGAAAGGTATCGACCACCTAAAGCAAATAGAGAAGAATTGAAAAGTATAATAGAAGAATTTATTAAAAAGCAGGACTATAGAAGAGCATACAATAGGCTTTTGTCTGTTGATGCCCTTCACAAGGCCACACAAATGCGGAGTCGGCAACAGCAGCAAAAACTGGAAGAGCATGTATGTATTTTGTAAAATGCCTCCATTCAAACTGAAAAATATGACTCTATAAATAAACAATTATTCTTCATCTAGCTCTACCGGTATATTCGAGTGTTCGACAAGGACTCTGGGTTTATAATTGAGCCATGTTATCGCTATTCTTTAGAAGGGCAAAAGGGAGCCAAAATATCAACAACCCAAAAATGGTAGAGTTTCTTTTCTTTGTTACGATTGAACACTATATGTCTCTTGAACTGTGCTCACCGTGAAGATATTTTTAATACCTAGGTACAAAAATGAGAAAATTCCGTGTCTGGTTGGTTGCATTGCCGAGCTGTCTGAGGAAGAAGAGGCAATGCTGCTTCATCCCGGTAAAAATGACTTTTCTGTCATGTTTAGCTGTAGAAAAAATTGTGCTCAGCTTTGGCTAGGTCCTGCAGCATTTATCAATCATGATTGCCGTGCTAATTGCAAGGTAACTATCAATATCAAATTAACTCCATTGTGTTATGCTCCTAATATAGTGTTATTGATTCTATCCCTTAATACTCCTTTTTCAGTTTGTTGCCACTGGTAGGGATACTGCGTGTGTGAAGGTACTTAGAGACATTGAAGTGGGTGAAGAAATCACTTGCTTTTATGGGGAAGATTTCTTTGGTGATGGCAATGGCTATTGTGAATGCAAAACATGTGAAAGGTAAAATTACACAAGTGTTTTCCATTATTTTTAGTTTTTAATTTAAATTTTAAAAAACGTGAGCTGATGTATTTACTCATTCTAGGAGAGGAACAGGAGCCTTTGCCAAGAATAAGCCTAACATGGAAGACTTGAGTTCAGGTTATCGTTTAAGAGAGACCGAAAATAGAATTAATAGGACTAAACATCAACATGAAGAGAGCCATGAGAAAACTGCCACAGAATCTGAAAGTGTTCCTCTAAGAAACAGAAGTAATAATACAAATATTAGCACTGCCACTAGCAAATCATCCCCAACATCAACTACTGGTTCTCCAGTTTCATCAGCAGCAGTAGCTCCCTTAAGTCTCAAAGAGCTGCGTCAGAAAGGCCTTACCAAATATGATGCTGAAATGTTGATGCAACAGGGATGCCGCTTTTCAGATATCGGAGCTTTAGAACAATTGGAACACGTTACAAGGAGGCAATCTCAAGATCAAGGTGAGTAGATTCATCATTTAACAAAAAGTACCACTTTATGTAAAAACAAAACAAAAAAAACTCAGTTTTTTAGATGATTTAGGTGTCTGTCTTGGCCTCTCTTACCTATTCAATTTTTTTTTATTAATATTTGGTGATTTCTTAACTGTTTCTTCAATTCAATTTCAAAATACAGCTACTGTAATAGTTTTAATGGGACTTATCAATCTTGCATATGGTTATGTTTTCCACTGATATAAAATGCTAGTACCACTGGGGTTAGGGTCTACCGTAGAGAAGGGAAACTTGCCTCCCTTCAAGGGGAATGACGAAAGGTTGTGTTAGTGCTGGTCTGGTCTTACTTGTTTTGGTCGGCATCGCTTTTCCATAAGAAGTTGAAGGGCAGTTGACATTCTTCTGTACATGAAAAGTCCCCCTGAGCATTCTGGGCTGATAACTGTAGTGTGTTAAGAATCCGCGAAGATATTGGGTGTCCCCTGCCTAGTTAAGTCAAGCCTGGGGGGAATAATGCTCAGCGTGAGCTCTTGGCAGGCTTGCCAATGCTGTCCATATTTAAATCAGTCCCAGGGCCAACATACATCAGTCTCAAAATGCTTTTGACTCTAGAGCCACTCTTACAAGTGTTTGTAATACCCTTCCACGGCTGCTGAATTTTTGTATGAGTCAAGTATTTTTAGATGTTATGCTAAAGCTATGGCTAGTGATTGGCAGATCATGCTTACATATTTGGAAATAAAGTCTGGCCAAGTTTGGCTCTGGAAAAGTAAAATTTTCTGGACAAATCACTGCGTATTTCAGATGTGACTTGTGTTTCAGTATCCATGATTTTTTTTCAATCAAGGAATGAGCAGAGTCATAGTCATATTTTACTGTCTCACTTATGGCCAGAATTTTCCAGCATGCATGTGGCATGTCGTGGAATGGTTTTCTATGCAGCATTGGGGCTCAATTCACGCTCTGTTTATTGTCCTCAGGAATCGAGAACAGGATAAAATGCAAAAATGGTTCGTCTCTCGGGCAGAGAAACTTCATTAAAAGCGGATTTTACCGGTAAATTTTTTGTCACTTAAGACTACTTGGGTCTGTTTGAAAACATTAGGTAAATTAGTAGAAAAAAGTGGGCCATAAAACTTTCACATGTTTTGCAGAGAACTTTGTGAAGCTTGCATAATGGGCTATTGTAGGCACCCTTATCATTCACACTGACTTTGGCTTGATTTTAATCTAAGGGCTATGCTAATTTGGTTTTGAAAGTTATTTTGTTCAGAGTTGGTCTTTCGGGAGCTGTAAGTCTCAGTTTTGTTTAAACTGCTAGTTCAAGCCAAACACGCCAAGGCATTTGACTGTGTCTGTAAATATGGTTTTGCAGTGTGTTTAGCACCTCATTATTCTTCTTTGCTACAGCTGATGCATGATAAGGTCATTTAAGCTGTTTTTTTCTGCAAAACATGTGGCTTGAGAGTACACAAAGTGTATGTTGGGAAATAATTTGAGCTGCATGACAAATAGATGCATGCTGTCAAAAACTATAAATATGAAAAAATTTGGCATAGTTCTTCAAAATCATGTACGTTAGGTTGATAACTCATAATCTAAAGGTTCAAATTTTTGTGAGGTCTCCCTTGTTACCTGGATTACTATTTTGTTTGAAAGGGTCCCTGATGTAGGTAGACATCGTAGAAAAAATATTTTCCTCTCTATTTCTAAAGTGGTATGTTTTTTTTGGTTTTCTTGCTTTTGTTTCAGATTGGTTAATAATATTCCCAAATGTACTGAGCCACAGTATTATTTTTGTTGGAGCTGTCTTTTATTTCGTCTTGTTATATTGCTTTTACTTTGGTTTATAGACTAGGTTAAGACATATTGTGTGGATTATAATTTTCTTCTTACCTTTTTTAAAACAATATTTTATTTACATGATATACACTAGTTCTTGGTTCTCAAGCAGAAAGTTAGTATACTGTCTATGAATCTTTTAACATTGTATGGATCTTGTCTTATGTCCACATTGATAAAGTGAGATAAAGTCTTAATTTCTTGTATATAATCTGTTCATATGCTTCCATCCTGTTTCTTCAATTCACTTATACACAGCCACGCTTTCCATTTTGGAATCCAAAGCACTGTGTTCCATGTGACTTCTTTTAATGATGATTTCTGGTTGCAGCGCCGCCCGTAGTAACACCGGACGCCGCTCGCAGCGACGCTGCCGACAGACGGAGGACCAGTGTTTGTCGAGAACAAGACCACGACGGGAGCAACGAGTCAGGAGAAGGCCTTAGTGAAGACGGTAAAAAGTGTGTGCAAGTAGATAATCCACCTGACAAAGCGCCGGGCCGGATCACTCGATCGTCTCGCCTCTTGCGCATGTCTGCGGCCAAGGGCGACTGCCCGGGAGTGGCTGAACCCATTGAGTCTAGAGTGGCCAGTCCACTCCCTGTGTTAGAAAAATGTGTGCTCAATGGAATAAGTGATGACACTCAAAGTACCACCGGGAGTGATATAGACTCGGTGTGCAGTGAAAGGAGAGGGAGACTACGTCAAAGTAAAAAAGGGAAGGAAGGGGAAGAGGTACCTTCGCCTCCAGCACCCTCTCTGTCTCCCCCCCGTGCTGGTAATTCTGTGATAAAGGAAGAGAAGGAAGGTCCTCCGGTCCTAGAACTAAATACAGAAGTAGGTGGATCATCATCTGATGTCTTGGCCAAACTAGAACCTAAAGATCCTAAAGTGACCACAACAAAAGCACCAAGACTGAGAAATGGGCGCTTTGTAAGTAGGAAAGCTGTGGCTGAAATCAGTGCAAGTAAGAGCAGAGACATACCAAAAAGATCCCAAGAAAGGATCCGTAAAACCTCTTCTTGTGATGATTCCACCAAAGATGTTTATGAGTTTGATGAGTTTGACGATTGTGAGAGAAGTCCAAAAGCCTTAAGACATTTACGTGGGTCTGGAGATAGCGCTAAACCTGACCAGCAACCATCGTGCTCTGAACAGACCTTTCAAAACTGCAATGAAGTAACTCCTGAGAGGCCTTCAGGGCGTCTTAAGCTGACTCTTAGAATGAAGCGTAGTCCCATGTTTGATGACATAATTGAATGGAGACGAAATATGAATGAGGAATGTTTTGAACCTCAATATGAAGTTTTACGTGTTGAAGGAATTGACGAAGAAGAAACTAGAGAAAAAAGCAGTCCTAAGAAAAAGAAAAAACATAAAACAAAAGATAGAGATAAGAGGAGACGGAAGCTCAAGGAGGAATCTTCCAGGTGTAATGGTAGTGAAGAGACAACCATTCCGCTCAAAAGATTGCGACTTATATTGGGCAATGAAACTAGAACAATAGATATTCCAAGCTCTACACTGAGTGCTTGATTTGTGTGGTCTGGTTTTGCTACTATTGTTGCATTTTATTAGTTACTTGTATGTATTTTTATGTCTGAAAATTAATTGTACTCAAGTTTTAACCTAAGGAAAGGTTAAACATGAGACGTACACCCTATCTTGTCATCTGTTACACCCCCTTCAACAACAAATGCCGTTAATGGAGTATCACTGAAGGTATCATGCACGCAGGAGAATTTTCTAGTATCTTATTATGCATTCTTTTTTTTTTTGTATAGATTTACTATCAAACCAATTTTAACTGTAAATTTATTGGAAATGGTTAGCTGTCATGTTTCTAAATTGAGCAGTCATGCTCATAAGTTGCATATCAAATCTAGAATTCAAAAGGAATTACTGGAAGAATAAAAGAAATTTCCTTGGTGAATCTTTTACACACAAGGTTCCCTTGTTTCCTTTCTCTAGGTTTTGCAATTAACTTTGCAAAAGTTTGTTGCCATCTGTACTTGAATGCATCACTAAGCAAATAAGGCAGTAATTCTTGTCACTGATTGTTCTAATAACAACCATTACTTCATTTGTGGGCCACAGAAATGTCTAGCAGCTTAGGTCATTTGTCTATTCCATTTTCACTTAGTCTTTCTTTTACGGTACTTACTCAAAAGACGCATTCATGGTTTCACTTTTAAATTCCAGTTTGTTGTATTTTTCTTTTTTCTTTCATGGCCTGTAATTCTTTAGCTGTACTATTTTTTCTATGTTTTTTATGTTTTCCTTTGATAGTGACAGTTGAAGTTCAAAGTTGAAAACCCTATTTCGTTTTCATTTTTCTTTCTTTTTTTTTGTTTTTTTGTTTTTGGGTGTAGATACTGACCTATTCATTTCAGTTGAAATTTATTAGTTAGGCTCTTGTGTAGTTAAGTGGCTGCCTTTTTTGTTTATTTTTAAAATCTTTAATTAAAATTATGTCTTGTTATTTTGATTAGAAGTTTCTATGCATCATTGTTACCTTGTTGACTTAACTGAATCTGACGTCTTCATGTATCATAAATTAATTGACTGGCTTTCTTTTAAGTTTGCTTTGGTCTGTTTGTAATCTGGCTAACTAGTCAGTTAACTATCTGACATGTACTATAGTCATGGGTTTAAACAAGATTTTTAAGTAATTTTTCCCTTAATTTACCCGAGGAAATGTTCGTACTTCCCAAATTATTAGCACAATATATGTATTAAGAATAATTATTCTTATTACAAGGTATGTTGTAACTGTCAGTTAAGCCTGCTTATGAGAAGCCAAAGGATCTGAATTATGGTGCTTCACTGTATATGACATTTCACCCTTGCTGTGGCCTTTCAAAGTGTACCAAAGGAACCAGTGCTTTTTTCTTGCTATTTGTCTGTGCAATATGACCTAAGTAAAGCTCATAGCTCTTTGCTATCTATATTTGTTTTTAACTTAAAGTATGTTTCTTTTTATGATCGTTGTTCAATTGGAAATTCAATTAAGAACAACTGCAAGAATGAGGTTTTAAATTTTGTTTTACTTACATCTAAATGTGATGTACATATATAGCAGAATTCTGTGAATATGAGCATCGGTAACAAAACCATTTATGGCATATAGACTTTATGCACTGCCAGTTGTGCTACATTGATGCTGTTGAGGCTTGAGAATTATCTTTTCAAATTTGGATCCTTTTATTGTTTTTATGTCAAGAAGATCTGACAGACATTTTTGTGGTACAGCTGATTGGAGGAAGTCCTAAAAAAAACTACTTGTGTTCAAAGTTGTCTTCGTAACAATTTTGTCTTGTTTAAAATACAGCTTGCATGCTGTGTTTGTAAATATTTAAAGAAAGAAAAAATAAACAAAATATAAGACTGGGGAACAAACAAACCTAAGGCGAGGAACTGGTGTATGTAAAACCCTAGTTGTTTCCATTATACATACATAAGAAATGTGATAAAATGATTAACAGATAGTGTATTTGTAAATAGTTAATTTGAGAGAAAAAACTGTTGTTGATGATTGCATACTGTTACTTTAAAAATAAAAAAAAAAAGATTTGTCTCTTGTAAGCTCAGTTTTGTTTGTAGGTCGTGCCCCCAGAGGCCATATCACTGTCGAGCTTTTTTTTTCTTTTTCCTTTGGGGAGTGGGGGGGGGGGCAGGGGGAATTGGTGTGCTGTAAGTAACAAATGATCACCCCCCTTGGACATGCATGTAGCTGAATACGTTTCCATAGTTATAATTTGTTTTGTGTTCATTTAGATTTTCAACTTATGTGATGTGTACATGTAACTAATACATAATTTACATAATTGCTTACTACAAATTTTATGTTATTTTTTTCTTTAGAAAAGAATGAAGTAAAGAAACATGTGATTTGACAACATTTTCTTATCTTTGCCAAGCCTTCCTAATGTTATATTCTGTTGCAGTTTAGCAGTCCCCTTTCAATCTGGCCCAGACAAGTATCTCTTTTTATTGCTTTTAGTTTATACACAAGACTGCACTGCCAAGAGGTGTGAGTTAGGTTGTTTTTTGTTGTTGTTTTTTTTTTTTGTAAAGTGTGTCTTATAGCCTTCATGATATAGACATAACTAAGTATTACCATTGATACAAGAAGTCTATTTTTCTCCCAAAAGAGCCATCATAAGGAAATATGTGTATGCTTCTTGAACCCACATTTTTGTGTGTCAAAGATGAAAACCACTGTGAATTGAATATCAATACAAACGATAAAAAAAAAAAGGTAATTTCAAGTATATGTCCAATGATTGCAAAAACTGTCTGAATTACCCAATAAACAGAGCACAACTGCCAAACTGAACTTGTGTATGCATTAACTTTCCCTCTGCAATGATTTTTAAAGATTAATTTATTGTCTGAGAAAGGTCCAGAAACATTACAACTGGTCAGGTTTGATTTATATTTGTTTTTATATTTGTTTCTTAATCAAACAATCACGCAAGCTAACAGCCCTGCTTTTGGTCAAATCCAAAGATATGTATTAATAAAACACACACACAAAAAAGAAGGCAATGAAAGAGATGATTGCTCACACAGATAATCATAAGTAGATTCAATTCAGATCCAGGCAGGCAACTTTGTCCTGTCCTAAGCTTTCTTTTTGATGAGTTGAATTATTGAGTTTGCAATATCCATAGTCTGGTCATCTACAAGAACTACATCAAAATGGTCCAAATATTTGGGAAGAAGGCGATCAACCTGCAAACGATGTTAAAATGTACATAGGTAAGCAGATAAAAAACATCTTAAAGGCATTTTTGACAACAAAAAATGTCTGATACACATACATCGCCGTATAAAAATCCTATTTTCAATACAGCATCTGTATTGGGAACACCATCAGCCATTTCAGCATCTCCAAGATTATCACCCATCAGGATCACATTGTGGCGACTTGACATTTCCTAGCAAGAAAAACCCCAAGTCAAAAAATACAAAAGTGATAAAAAACAAGTACTACATGTGAAAGAAGTTGAAAGTTATAATGAAATAAACCTGAAAATAGTTTGTGTGCTCAGCTGCTTTTCCATTTTTGTTAAAAGGATGGACAATGTCAGCTGTGAAACCATTCACAAGCCCATCTTTATACTTTAAAAAGTTTGATATCACATGGATATTTTTGTTGGCCACTCCATGATTTTTCAAAATTGCATCCACAACGTCACCCAGGCCAGCAGAGAATACAAGAAGTGGCACATTAAGTGAATCAAGAGTAGTGACTAGATCTTGAAACCCTGATCTATTGTTTATGTGTTTTTCAAAAGAAAAAGAAAGGATTAGTAGCAAATAAAAAAAATATGAAGTAAAACATGTACTTACATGCCTGTATGTAATGTACCTTAACTCTGTATTAGATTTTTTAACAGCTTCTGATATTTCACTAGAATCTAGAGGAAAACCACGGAAGAGTTCACTAGTCATTGTGTACCACTCAACCATGAATGGTGTCTTTTCCTCTTTTGTTAAATGTGGATCTCTCTCAATGGGAAGATACTTTTTTAGGAGTTCACTATCCTTCCCACTAAAATGTGACGGTAATCCATTACAATTATTTATAACACCTGCAAGAGATAAACTTTTAGAAAAATTCTGAATGAACTCAGATTGAATATCATGGGGTGGTTTTTTAGAAATACATACAGAAACTAGAGGTGTGGCGTGTACCATTCACATGTTGCTTCGTTATAGTATGATCAAAATCAGCAATCACCTTGAACCAGTGAAAACATTAGGTACAATTAAGATAAAAATCAAAATTAACATTACAAAAAAATAATAAAAAAATTTGTGTTATTACCTGCAAAGCATTTACACCACCAGACTCCAATTTGTCTAGGAGAGCACGAACTTTCCTGGGATCTTTTACATGAACCCACTTCCTTCCAAACTCTGGTATCTATATAAGTGGTCAAATAAAAGTAAGTATAGATACACACGTACACACACAGACAGACAGACAAAGGAATATAAGACGTGAGGAACACTTACCAAGTCCAACAGCAACTTCATATCTGCTTCTCCACTATCACCCATTTTCACTGAACAGGTTCTGCAAACATGGGGATGTGAAAAAATTGAAAGAATATCACACTACTGACACTGTAAAGCATACATCAACATCTTCCGTTGCACAGCAAATCTGTCGGCTATGCAAATAGACATTATGAGGCAACTACGCAAACAGAGCATTGTCCTGATAAGCAGTTAATTTTAATACCCAGTTCTTGCTTTAAAAAAGTGACCGAATGGACTACACAACATTTTGCATGATGCACTTTAAAATCGCTATAAGGTGTTTTGTTTATTTGCTTTTTATATTATTATTGATTGGGCTGTGCTAATGCATTGGTTGCAGGAAGCAGCCCACTTAACCCCAACCTTGCCCCAGCGCTTGTTCATGCAGATGACATTTAAAGATATGAAAACTAAATGAAGAATACTAAAAGGGCTTGGAACAGGAAATAGTCAACAAAAATTTAGCAGTTGTAACTTACACAAATCTTCACAAAACTGTTTTTGCACCGCCACCACCGGTCTGATAAAATGATTGGTGTCTGCCTCTGCGTCTGCACCGTCTGCGCATGCGCTCATGCTTTGTTTACAAATGGGAATCAGTTATATGCACCACAGTGCTTAGTTAGATTCATTATTTTCAGTCATATTGTCAACAAACAATCAAATCAAACCACGGTTCAGAGGTGGTTTTGGGACGGGGTTCCACATCACATTTTCTGTTCAATATTTTGGCCGTTGGTTTGTAACTTGTAGAGCTGGCGAACAACTGAAGTATTCTTTCATTGTTGTTTGTTGTCACTCTAGTCAGAGTGTGTCTGGTATGATTTTGTGTGCATGGTGAGTTCATTTTAGTTGTAATTGAGCCACAGGACTTCCACTTCAATAACAATAATCATATCTTTTAAATTGTTCTACTTACAGAGAAATGACAGACAGTATTGACTCGGAGAATTCTTCAGCACATTCATTGAATAGTGGCAGTGACTGCAAAGGTAGGCCTCATCATCAATTACTTGGCATCACTCGCAAGCTCTGCTAAGAGCACTCATCAATGTGACACTAGAATCGCAACATACAATAATGTCATATTTTAAATAGTAAAATGTATCGTATTGACAATGACAGGAAAATACCTGTCTATAAATTTGACTTAATTGTCTGTACACATCTTGTTTTCCACAAACTTCGAATTCAATCTGACTATTGTACTTTTACAGAAGTTCACTGCCTACAGCAACAGAATGTTGCAAAAATCAGTAGAGGTGAATTGGAGGATTTGTATTATCAACTGCATGATGAAAATATTGAAATTAAGAAGAAGTTCAATTCTTTGGACAACAAGTACAAGATGTGAGTTCATCAAAAAAGCATGGATGGGAATGCATTATGATATTATTATTTAAATTATGATTGTTATATTGTTGACACTTATCCTTACAGAATGGCTACCAGAGTTATGCGTCTCTCAAGAGAGCACAAGTGTGTTGAGTCCATAGATAGGGAGGAGGACCAGAGACAACTGCAGCAACTCAGGCAGAATGAAACTGCTTTGAATGCTAAGTTAACTGTGTTAAGAGGACAGCTAGCCTCTCACACTCGACTACATTCAGCAGCCCTATCTAAAGTACAGCGCCCAAGACCCCACCGCTGTAGTCGCATTTGTCATTCAGGGTAAGTATTGATTTCTCACAGACTTATATCCCTGAAATCTAAAAAGTATAATCCTATTTGTTCAAAAATAATTTCAGCCGTGGCAATTGTGGGAAAGATGATGATTCTATTCTGGCAATTAGTCGTCCAGGAAGTCAAAGTAGAGGTCAAAGTCGACAACGTAGTTCTAGTCTAACTGGTAGTCAACAAGGTGCACCTAAAGACCAACATGGTTTGGCAAAAACCAATGCTGGCTTACAAGATGAAATCACCCGCCTTCAAAACAAAATCAGTACACTGCAGAGAGATATGTTACTTGCTAGTGAAAAAAGTAACACTCGTATTTGTGAGCTAGAAACTGAGCTTGCCAAACATTTAGATAAGGATACTGCCGAAAATGTTGAGTTAATTAAGGCTCGACGATTAAGTAAACAGCATGAAACAGCTTTAATTTCTCTTCAACAAGAGCAACAAATGACTCAAAGAGAGCTACAAGCATGCAAAGCAGCTCTCACTCTTGCTGCTCGGGACCAAGGTAACTTGCTCTTAGATTTTAATGCTGCAATTTTTAAAGATTTTTTAAAAAGATTTTAATGCAGATTTTGAATTTATTGTTCATGAATTCCAGATGAACTGTGCTCAACTTTGATGAAGGAAAGACAAAAAAACACAGACCTACACCAAGAAAATGTGAAGCTCTCCCAAACATGCTCCTCTATTCGTGATCTTGAGGAACAACTCAAAGATGCTAAGGTAAGTGTATTGTTCCAGTGCTTGCAGTACAATGTCTATGATTTCTTGTATTAAATGGTCATTCCTTGTAAACATGAATATATTCTGTTTTGGCTATTTAGAAAGAAAATGCAGTCCTCAAAGAGCATAGTAATCGTCTCCTTCAGCTCAAGACTGGAACTGCAGATGCTCGGAGCAGTCCAAGGAGTAATTTCAATGAAGTAAATACAAATATAGCTTTTTTTTACTCTTTTAAAATGCTTTTGATAATTAACCTTTAACAACTTTCAGGTACATGTAGTAGCTCAAACCGCCAGTGAAAATCTATCTATCATGCCGGATAATAATGATTCAAAACAGAAATTGGCCAGCCTAAAACAAGAAGAATTGAATCTGCAACAAGAGATTAAGGAGATTCAAGATGAAATATCAGTCCTAAACAAAAAACTACTTCAAGCTAAGGATGAACGAAATAACTTAAATGAGGAACATGCCAAAGTATTACGTGAATGCTTAAAGTTACGCACAGAACTGATTGAACCACAGGAAGAGAGGAAAAGACTATTCCAACAGTTGTCAGATATACGTAATGAATCTGCCTGTCTTGTTGAAGACTTATCAAAGAGCAAGTCTAAACTAGAGCAGCAGAAAAAAGATCAACAAGATCTTCTACTTGCTCTCCAGGTGAAGCTGACCACATACACTTTCTTATAATTTTTTTTCTCCGAATTTTGGGAATTAATTAATTGTGTCAACATAATGTGAATTTGTATCGTTTTAGGAACAAAGAGCAACCAATGCATTGGAGAAAGATGAATCAATTGAGAGGACTGGTCTCAACTACTCTCACCCTCTTGCATCTATTGCAAATCGCCAACTTTTTCATGCACCTCAGCTATCATCTGGTTCTGGTTATTTTCTGTCTCCACCTCAGTCCCATTCACATCCATGCACTCCTCGGCCAAGGCCGCGAGCTGGTGATGCATGCTTGGCGCTGTTGGAACAAACTGCCATCAGGCCATCTTCAAGTTCTTTTCATGGAGTGTTAGGATCACATGGTTCACTCCAGGAAAGGTTCCTTGAGTTGTGCATTCCAAACGGTCCCATATCTTCCTCTCTAACACCTGTGCAACCAGTGTCAACTGAAGAGGGAGGAAACTCTTCTAAGGTAGCAATTAACACATATACAAAATAAATACACAGGATTGTACTGGTTATTTTTCATTTATATTTTTCCTTTTTTTCTATTTCTTTCCTTATTTTTTTTTTTTTTTGATTTGTTACTATTTTAGATTGCTTCAAATTTGCCTGTATCTGAAGATAAACATGAATCTCAAAGTATACCTGTATCTCCAAAGATAAGAAGCAGTTCCTATTCTCATCAACACAATGGACAGACTGATACTCAGCGGGAACTTGACAAGTGTCGAGAAGTGCTTAGGGTGCAGTTTAACTTAAACTCGATTTACAAGAAGGAGGTAAGTGTGAGAAAATTGATGCATCATGCTAGGAGAAAGAATTTGAGTTTTTAATGTACCGATTCTTTTTTTACCAGGTTGCCAGCTTAAGTAATATTGTCCAATCTCTCACATCAGGCACACGGACCCAGGATGATAGTTGTAAGTAATTACATGTACTAATCTTTATTCTTAAAAATCTAGTCATCAAAGTCATGCAGAACACTAGCATTTCTTACTTTGTGTCAGTATTGTGACAGCACATATTAATAATACAAAAAATATCACATCAAGGCAGGGAAACTTGTTCAGACTGTGTTGATGTTTCTCATCCGATAAACAAAAGGTGTGCAATTTTATGCAGACTGACTCTCTTTAAATTATCTACTACCTCACTTTTAAAGACTATGCTTCATCATACATATTTAAATTATTCAAAAAAAGACGACATAAAATTGAAAATAATTATTTTTAGAAGTTGTAAGAAAAGCACGGTTTGGGGCTTATGGCACACATTGACATCAGTCTATCCTTGTTACAATTTTATTTCTGCAGATTTGATCAAAGTCTTGCTTTATGTATAACCTATCCGTGTAACCCATTATATTTTATAGTTTTCATTTTCTAATCTTAAAGGCCATCAGATTTAATCTGATAAGGTAATAGTTCTGAATCTGACATTTACTGAGTGAGCACACATTGGCTTAGTGATTTTTGTTGTTGTGTTTTTTGTTTTTTTTGTGTGTGTGTGCGCATTAACTGAATAAATGTTGGAATTTTGCAATATTAGTTACTATTATTCCTCATACTTCTCCGCTGAATAACTGGCCATTGATTCTTTCTACTCCAGGATGGTGACTCTGATGTGTTCATTTTGTGGAGACTTTCCTGTCTCAAAATAGATTGTAGTAATAAATACTGTTCATTGTCAGTGGAGTTAAGAGCTGCTGCAAATTGTTGCATTGTTGTCTGAGTATCATCAACTGCAGGGAATTGAATGGACTGAGCGGATGGTGAACCAGCCCATGAGATACCTCCAGGTCCAATTTTTAGGCAACCAAAGCGAAGACGTATTAAAGGAGATGTGAAAACAAGTCCAATTTCTACTGCTGCACATGCCTGCAAAATGAACGATGCTATGTAAAGTTATCTTCTTACCAGTGTGCGATGGAATGAAAATGGGCTGAATTACACCTGCATAGTAGCAATTTTTCTCACCTGAACCCTTGCATCATCTGTTAGGCTGATATTTGCAAGTCGTAGACAAACTGTCACCACTGGGAATTGGGGGATAGGAAAACAGAATGGTGGGGGATTTGAACCTGAAGAGAGGGACGAATATCAATGTAAATGTATTAATTCCCAAGAGACCTTAATCTCTTGCTTACCTGAAATTAACTCTCGTTCAATAAGAGTGCGATTATTCATAGCCAAACGAAGCACAATGGCAATGGATTCCTTTACATAAGATAAACTTGCGCAACCTGCAGAGAAATATTAATAGATTAGTTCAGTTCTATCAGATCACTCTTAAAATCATTTTCTCATAACTTATTACTAGACCTGTTTTATTCTTGCGCAGAGGTTTTATCTCCACTCTTGCACAGCAGGCACAGGTCCAATGGGCACAAGAGCAGGAGGTGTTAAAGTGTGGCAAGATTGACGGCAAAGATGCCAAAGAGATTCTCTGTGAGGGACTCAGTGCCATCTTAAATATGAGAAGAAAGAAACACAAATGGAACCACAACAGTTAGTTATTATAGATGAGGGTAAGGAAAACTGACCAAGACTCAAATCCATGACTTTCAAACCTTGATAGCCTGACTATGTTCAGCGTGATCCGGCAGTCCCCATATCATTGGCGGCACGAGGAGGTCTATAGTCTCACCCTCCGCCTCAGGTTGGAAGTCCTGGAAACCGTCGACCTCGATGCCCTGGTTGTTGTTACCGGGCACCTCGTCAAGAGCCAGGGACCCCGGTAGTGCGCGGGCCACCACGCGTGCTGCGCCTTCACACAAATAATTTTTCTTCAAATCCGACTTGGGTTGATGAAAATGCGCGTAAAAACGCATTGGGGCGAGAAACCACCACGGTGACATACCTGCCGTCGGCACCGCCAGCGCACATCCCAGGGCCAGCAGGTGGAGGAGGGACGGCCTCATCGAGGTCCTCATGGTGATGGCTCGGCCGGGGAGGACTCTGCAGCCACAGGCTCTCGATGGCGAATGAGCTGAGGATAACAGCCGCTGCCCTGGGCTTTCCCCGGGACTCGGTCGGTGATTCCCTTATCACGGCGGGTCCCTTTGCCGCCAACACGACTGCATATTGATTCCATTAGGCGTGAGCAAACATGCGGCTGACACCGTGCGCTGAGCGTGCCAGACAGAGAGAGAGGGGGGGGGGGGTCTTTTCCCCTCCCACCCGCTCACATGGTGTGCCATACCACGGCGGCTGTCAGGCAGTGCAAGGGGCACGACGCTTAAATGCACCTTTATGGAAAGCATAGAACCGCCCTGAACTCTGGGGAGCAACTATTGAGAGCGCCCGGCCCGGTTCCTGTCAGAATTTCCTGTTGTTTTTTTTCGTGCCTGGCCAGTGGAGCGCCCTTGTCCTCCTCGATCGGGGCCTGCCTGCTTGCCTGCATCTGCATCGATCCCCAATTCTATAAGCCCACCGTCCCAGCTTGTGGGCGTGAGGACGCATGCGATCGCGCCAAGAAGCTAAAGCAGTTGTAGCCCTGGGAAGGGCATTCCAAGACCCTTTTGCAATTTTATCCCGCTCGAAAACGTTATCGTTTCGACGTACTAGCCGATGATATGCCCCCATTTTGCCACCCTCTTCACCACATCGCCGCCCCAGAGAATCTTGACGACATTTTTCCAGCAACCACAAATTCACAAATTGTTCCCCATCGAGCTGGACTTCTGAGCCCCTATCGGTGGTGAGGAAGGCAGGACCCCAAGCCGCAGGCGCTCAGCACTACGGCGGCTGTCACAACTGCTTACTTCTCTCCACAGCACCTGATGAGGATGGGGTAGGCAGTGCCGCATCACTCTGGTGTCTGACGGGACTGCCTACTCCTCTCCATAGCGCCTGACGAGGACGGGGTAGGCAGTGCCGCATCACTCTGGTGTCTGACGGGACTGCCTACCTCAGAGGCTGATGCTCTGACTCACTCGCCCGCCGATCGCCGGTGTGGCGTGGCGGGACGGGATCGCTGCCGCCGCCAGTCGACCAGGCGCTGAGGTTGCATTTAAGAAGTCAGAGTGGTCGACAAAGATATGCGAGTAGCGATCCCACGCAGCAAATACTCGGTGACTAAATCGATGTGGCGCGATGAGGGTTACTCATTGCTCCAGCGAAGGGGGGAGGGGAATGCCACGATGACTACCCATGTTTACAGGGTGGTTTTTCGGGGTCATTTTCCGAGGTCAGTTAAAAGAACAACTCCACCCTCAGGCAACATTTGCACGGTTGCTTCGCCACTCTCAACTCTCGATAACAAAGCACGACTTCGAACACCCACCCTGTGTAAATTTGAGATTTAAAAATTGCCTTTTTTTAAAAAAAGGAGTACACGATTTTACAACAAAATGTTTAAACTAAACAGCTAAACATGTGTTCTAGACACGATCAGCAGCTGCCGCTGCATGGTACAGTGCACAGCATATAGCACATTTGGCACACATGGGCCGGGGTCGTCGTGTGGGCGTGTGGCTAACCGGAAAGGCAAACGCGGTAGCAGTTTTGAGTACCTAGTGACTTCTCCTAGTATCAAACAACCGGCAAAGTAGATATGGTGTGAGTCCACGGGTTCGATTCGCCCTGTCGTATGAACACATTTCTGGCCACCATAGCGCCGAGTAGGAAACTTGACATTTTAAAAGGAAGGAGACATAGGAAGATGTTTTCGCACACATGCGTATACTCCAAGTACCATCCAACCTTTATGAGTTTCGTTAACCGCAGTAACCCGCAGTAACCCATACCTTCTAATTCACTCAAGGTTCAGGTTTGCATAATAAATACACTTGGTACCCCCC